TTATTCAGATATCAGGATTACATACTTGTCAAACTATTACATATCCAAACGGCTTGCCATATTAAGGGTTTATCCCTTCAATGCTAGCTGATTAATGCATCTATTTAGGTAAAATCATGTGTCAGTGGGTGAATATGAAGAATAAAAACGTTTTTGTAATCGATGGAACTTGTTCATCATCTCATGGGGTTCCTCCTCATGTTAATTCTGTCTTCCTTCACAGTTAATACTAAGTAGCTGTTTGCAGCCACTTCAGATGTTATCTTCCCAATAAATGGTCGTTATTAATGGTTACTATCCCCATAGAATGCCTTCAGATTGTGCCAGTAGGCTCAGTAGGTTGTTATCACCGAGTGAATCTTAATCCTAACCCTCTGGGGAGTATGTTACTATGGCAACAGAAACAGGTTGAGGAAACTCTCTCTGTGAAACGGAAAACTGAGAGTTTCCCTGATTTCTGGTTTAGAAATCTTAGAGTTTTCAGTAAAGCTGCTTCCTGGAACCGACCAGAACCAACAGAAAACCAGAACTGCGTCTGTTTTCAGGTAAAAACCTGCTGATTAAGTGACGTTTGGTGGGAAACGCTAAAAGTAAGATTGGCTTTTTTGTGGTTAGTGTATCTAAAGGGTTAAAACCTTTGAATCAGCGCAGCTTTTATTTCCTGTTTTCGCTTTCTGAAAGCTTCCTTCTGCAGGCAGCCTTCGCCTCGGTGAATCTCCGTTCGAAGGTAAAGTTTTTATTGTTTTCTTCATGAATCCCAGCTGAGCTGGAACCTGATGAAGGAGGCCGTTACTCAACAGAACCAGATCAGCAGCACAGAACTGTTGGTATCTGGTATCTGAGGGCAGATTCTCCTCTCTCGGTCCTCTGAAGAGGAGGAAGCTGCTGTTCCTTCCGCTCTCTGAGGCCCTGAAGGCGGCCTGGGTTCAGCCCCAACCTGGACGGAGAGCCGCTCACAGAACCACCGACCCACGGATCAGCAGGCATCATTTATTAGACTCATAGGCTGCAGATGGAGTTAAAACAGATGGAATATGTTCTTCGTCCTGAAACAGGATCCAACTTCAGCGTCTGTCTCTGTTCTTTCTTCACAAAACAGGAAAATTATCTAACTGTTTATTTTACAACGATCTGCTCCATCACGGATAACAGCAACATTTTAAATGATCAGCATCAATTAAATAAGAAACGGTTTTCCTTAATTTCAGCTTCTAACATTTTCTCCACAATCCTTTTCTTAATCTTTAACAACTTTAATCTTTTTATTTAACCTTGAGCTAAGGTTTCTGTTTGAAGATGTTTGCTCCAAACAGCTTAATGAAGAATTAAAACTTAATAAATAAAAGCAAATCCAAAAACCGAGACTTAAAAACTATAAATTGTCACTCCTCTTCTTATGTATATATTTATGATGTAAGCTATGTAGGCCGGTTCTTTAGTATTATACACATTTTTTTTGCATTAAAATTATCAACCTATTAATCTTTAATTTTGTTTTTTTTGCTAAATAGATTACATTTATTTATTTTTTTTTATGCAGAAGTAAAGGACTTTGTTTGCGCTAGTTCTTCAGTATTTGATTTTTAATAATCTTTAAATCAGTTAACGAACAGGAAGAAACCTCCAGCAGAACCAGGCTCAGTGTGAGCGGCCATCTGCTGAGGCCCACTGGGGTTCAAGGAGACAGAAGCAGACATAGACAAAGGAAAAAGGGGTCCCTATGTCCTCCAGCAGTCTAAGCCTATAGCAGCAGATCTATAGAGATAGCTCAGGATATCTCTGTATAACAGAAGAAAATAAATAAAATATAATAAGACAAAATACAATAAGTAAAATTATACCCTTCCCATATAAACAGCATAATATAAGATATCAGAATAAAATAAGATTGAGATTCTTTTTTTCTTGAATAATAAGATCAGGGTGAATCAGTTTAAAACAAGACAAGAAACACGAGGCAGCAAAGGATGCTGGGATAGAAACTGCACTGAATGAGTGCAGATCTGCTACAGTTTGATGACCATACCTCTGTGTGAGGGACTCCTACGGTAATTTAAGCTCTGATACAGTCTATATAGTCCATCATGTCCGCTTTTATTAAATGGGATGTTTTAGGAAGTGTCCATCGCCTGAAAGCTGATTTAGAGCCAGGAAGATGAGTCAAACCAGGGAGTAGAAGATGAAAATGAATCCTGCATCCCAGGCTCGGACTGGGAACGATTTTTGGCCCTTTGTCAAATACTATTATGATTACTTCTTGAGATCCTTGAGTTCCTTACTGTCACAGGTAGGAGTTTCGGCCGGAGAGGAAGTGAGAGTAAGCAACCTACCGGACAAATGCCCGTTATCACAGATTACCAGTCCGAGTCTGTTTCCTCCTCAGATGAAGGCTGAAGGTGTGTGAGCCTCATGGATCAGTGTGAGAACAGAGAGGGCCCAGCCCCTCCCACTACCATCACTCTGCATGGAGAACCTGAGGAGCAGAGTAAAGGTCAAAGGTCAGATCACAGTCTCTAATTATCCAGGACTCTTCAGCCTGCAGACTCTGAACTGTGTGTTTTGTTGCAGCCCAGATCAGCAGCCCGATGCTGAACGACAGGAACCCAGCTGCTTGTCCTTCAAGAGCAACTGGTCAAAGGAAAACCCACTGGTTACCTTTAAAAAACGAAATACGCTAAAGTCTGAGTGAGTTAAAGTTATGAAAGATTCCGGCGTTTAAAGTGCAGGTAAACCTTTAAATTCTTCCTGGTGTTTTTCCATTAGGATGGATCAGCAGGGAGCAGAATGTCCAGAGTTTGAACCCAGAGGTCTGTCCTCCAAACCTGCTGCTGCAAAGAGGTGAACTAAGACCGCTTTAGCCTGCTTCACACTCATTATTGGGTCACCATGACATTAACATTATAAATGGTTCAGATCAGGTCTGTCTGAAATGTAAAGAGCCTGTGTCATAGTTCTGGTTTTCTTTTGAGTCCTCAGTTTTACTTTGCTCCATGTTTTCTGGTTTTAGTGGTTTAATTCTTATTTTGTTGTGTTCTCTGGTTATGTCATGATTTTATCTAGTGCTCTGACCCAAATGCAGAAGACCGAACTGAGAGACCAGGGAAAGGTTTAACAGGTTTGTTTAGAAAGATGATATGAGTCCAGTGCTGCTCTGAACACTGTCGAACCGGAACTGGAAAGTGAGGGGAAGACACTGCGGTTAGTTCAGGCTCAGTGGGACGTTAGATTCTTTGACTTGAAGAGGAGGACTTTTCGCAGACTCACGTTTCCAGAAAAGGTGTCTTTTGTGGAATCCAGTGTGGGATGTTCCAGTGATTGTCTTGTTTGATGGAGGGCGGACAGGGTTTACCCAAATTGTGGTTGTTCCTTGGTGAACAGAGAAGCTGACTGCCACTGAGATTTCCTGCGGTACTTGAACGGGTTATTGTGGAGATGAATCCCCTGCTCAGAGAGAAGCCCCAGACGATCTTTGGGGGAAAAGGTTGATCCAAAACCACTAACTTGAATCCTCAGCTCTGTTTCGTTCTCAGGAGATCCTTCCAGGGGAGAGAAGGTCCGAAACATCCAGTTTGCAGGATGACTTCCTGCCGAGAGGCAAAGACAAAAAGCAAGGTTAAAACTCAGGTTGACAAAAACTCAGTTTGACTCAGCAAAACTCAGCTTGGCTCGAGTAACTGAACCTGGCAAACACTCTGGCGTGGAGGTAGTGGCAGTCAGCTGCTTAAGAGTCCTCCGGTAATGAGGCAACCATCCGCAGGTGTGTGAGGAGGCCAACCAGAAACAGGCGCTGCCTGGTGGAGGAAGGAAAACAAACACAAACCACACAGACTGGATTCCTAACAGGTTATTTTTCAGTCTTCAGGTTTGTATTTGTTGGCGGATGGGGGCTGGGAGCCCGACCCGGAGACAGTAGCCTAGACAACGACGGTCCCATGCCTCCCCCCGCCTGATATGCTAGCAACAGCTTAGCAACAGCATCCTACTTCCAGCTTGCGGTTGTGATGGCCTTAGAGTGGGAACAGCTACTCGTTTCAGTAAAAGAAGTTTAGTAAATCCTGCTTTGAAATGTCCAACATTTTGAAAGCTGTCTTCGGTAAAATGCTTCGAGCAAATGAGCAGCTGAGCATCAAACTTAGCAGGGATCTTCTGATAGACGAAAGTAATCCATGCCTGTCGAGTCTTCGGATCCTTGGGAAGACTGTGAAAATGTTCCCCTTCCTCCGGTCAGCCTGGAACGCTGCATTTCTGCCCGTAGTTCTGGCTCATTTTCAATAGAGAAACTTCCTGCTTTGTAATTCTTGTAGAAGTAAACCCAACTGTAGGCTAAACAGCTAAACTGCGGTCTTCCATCTACCTCTATTCGTGTTCTTGGCCCAGTGAACCAGTGGGCTGGGCTGGATATAAGTACAGGCCAGAACCAAATAAGGCAACATCCCAGAGTTTACATCAACTCGGCGCTTCGTTTGGATTCGCCCGTTTGATGGTGGAAGTTTAGAATTGTGATATTGGCAGAGAAAGGAGGTGTTGATGGGGTTTGAACTTCTCTGTATGTCCATTTTACCCACTGAACTATTGTTATTCATCAATGACAATGGAAACTCTGCATTCTGTGACCCCTTTAAGGATGAAGCCAGAATGGGCCATACAGCTGAATGTGCTGCTAGGATGCTAACTGAGATCAGTGCAACTGGTTTACTCCATTTCATCAGCAACAAACTATTTACTGCCTCAGTACTAAAACCTGTTATCTGTACCTTTTCATCATTCCTTCCCAGAACTGTCCAGAAGATCTTAACAGGTCCCGGAAGTTCAGCAGAAACACACCTGGACTCCATCTTTCAGGTATAACATTCACAGCCATGCTGGCATCTATGGAGCAACAGAGAAATAGTAATTGGGAAGCAGGTTGTATTAAGTTTGTAGTTATGGAGACTGTGGCTAACAAAGCCGTGAAAGTTCTGCACATAAATTATTAAGGGTGCTAATTCGAATCATGCGCACTGCACACCTACCGTCCATGTCGGCTGTGTAAAACTCCTGACATAAAGTCTTCTAGCTCATCCCATTCTAGACCTGATCCATTCTCTCATCAATGGAAGCAAAGACACAGTCCATCTGTCCATCTCTGGAGACATCCTGCCATTAATGCATCATGAAGGACCTGTCAGATGCTGCTCTGCAGTGGCTCTCTGGAGAACATGATGTTCCAGCTAGTGCTGCTGAGGCACCATTGTTCTCAGCCTCCTTTGGGGGGGGATATGGCATCTTTTGTTTGCTTCCAAACGTGAGTCACTAACCTGGTTTAACAGTTCAGTCCATCATCAGAGAGGTAGGATCCAGCCGGCGGGCTGGCTGCGAGTCCAATAACCGATAACACAAACACACTCACACGCACGTGAGACTAATCCAAAACGTACCAGAAAGCAGAGAAAAATGCTGATGACCCTACAGCTCTAATTACGGCAGCGAGTAGGTCTTCAGCAGTGCTGTGATTGTCCAATCACAGACCTGATTCAGTGGAGCATCACGTTTGTAAAGTGAGCTCAGGAGTGACAGCAGTGACAGCCAATCACACAAGAAAGGGCAGCGTGTCATAAAAGGGACAGATGGACTCAGCATTCAAGGTGAGACAGTCGGTAGGAAAGTTAAAAGCATTTATTAAAAACTAACTGAAACAGAACAAAACAAAGGGGTTGATGGTTCAGTCCATCGGCCAATGGACTGACAAACAGGATCCAGTGCAGAGGCGTCTAGGGTGTCCCTAATGCAGCAGCCACAGGCAGGAGACCGATTCAGATCAGAACCGGAGAGTTCTGATATCCAGGAGTCCGTGGCCCGACAGGGGTTCCAATCCACACAGGAAACAGACAGATCCTGGTCTCCAAGTATCCACAGAACATGAATGCAGGTCCAGAGTTCAGATGCAAATGGGCAAGGTCTGTGGTTGAGGGAACAGAGACAATATGTGGTATTTCTGCAGGACTTTAAACTGGTCTCCTCCTAGGAGCCAGGCTTATGGGAATAAAACTGACCCTTCCCGCATCCGAGCCAAAACCTTTAGGGCTCAGTGGAGAAGGGCCAGAACAAGATCAGAAGACAAGACAGACACTAAAAGCCTCTTAACCCACTGGCCACCGGGAATGAAGACACACACCTTGGAACATAAACCGAACTATCGAAACCGACAAACAGAAAACAAATATTGATCTGGCCCCGATAGCTGGACTGAGCAGAACATAAGGCAGGACCAGCAGGTGGATGACATGAGTGATAATTAGGGATCGGGAAGAGTAAAGCAGGTGAAAGACATGACCAGTGTTGGTGTAGAGTAGCGTTACATTGTTTTTGGGCAGAAAAAGGGCAGGGGACAAAAACTGTCCCCCCAGCCCCCGCAAAATTACATCCATGGTCTTAACCACTGGTTCCATCTAACCTTTTCCAGATCCGATCACTGATATTTAGTCTTTGGCTACTATGTAGTGAAAAGAGAGAGGTTCTTTGTTCAGTCAAACCCTGGCCTTTAATTCTCTGAGGAAAAAGGCGGGCTGGTGATTTGTTTAAAATCAGTTAAGGAAATGAGTCTTTAAATGCTCTAGGAGATGTAATTCTTTTCTCTTTCTATCCCAGGAGCTGGAAATCAAGATGGTCACTTATGTGAAAAACGAGCTAAAGAAGATCCGACAGCTTCTCTGTTCAGATTCTCCAGAAAACGTAGGAAGTCCAACGAAGGGCAAGGAAGTTTTAGATGGAGTGGATAAGGAGAAGAAGAGTAGAAGCAGAGAAGCTTTCCTGGTGATGACCCAACACTTCCTGAGGAATATGAACCAGGGGGAGCTGGCTGATCTTCTGCACAGTAGTAAGATACGACCTCTAGAAATGTTATCTAGGATTACCACATTTAGATCTCACTGCTGTGTTTTTCTTATTACTTTAGAAAGGGAAGTTCACCAGCAACAGTTTAAACATCACCTGAAGGAGAAGTTCCAGTATGTGTTTGAGGGAATCGCTAAAGCAGGAAGTCCAACCCTTCTGAACCAGATCTACACAGAGCTCTACATCACAGAGGGAGGTGCAGGAGAGGTTGGCGGTAAACATGAGGTCAGACAGATTGAAACATCGCCTGGGAAACCAAGCAGACCAGAAACAACAATCAGACAAGAAGACCTCTTTAAAGACCAACCTGGAGGAGATCAACCAATCAGAACAGTGATGACGAAGGGAGTGGCTGGCATTGGGAAAACAGTCTTAACACAGAAGTTCACTCTGGACTGGGCTGAAGGCAAAGCCCACCAGAACATCCAGTTCATATTTCCATTCACCTTCAGAGAGCTGAATGTGCTGAAAGAGAAAAAGTTCAGCTTGGTTGAACTTGTTCATCGCTTCTTTACTGAAACCAAAGAAATCTGCAACTTTGAAGACTTCCAGGTTCTGTTTATCTTAGACGGTCTGGATGAGAGTCGACTTCGTCTGGACTTTACCAACACAAAAGTTCTAAATAACCCTGAAAGGTCCACGTCAGTGGATGTTCTCCTGACCAACCTCATCAGGGGGAATCTACTCCCATTCGCTCGTCTCTGGATAACCACACGACCTGCAGCAGCCAATCAGATCCCTCCTGCCTATATTGACGTGATGACTGATATCGGAGGGTTTAGTGACTCCCAGAAGGAGGAGTACTTCAGGAAGAGATTCAAAGACGAGGTGCTGGCCAGCAGGATCATCTCCCACGTCAAGAAATCAAGAAACATTCACATCATGTGCCACATCCCGGTCTTCTGCTGGATCACTGCTGTTGTCCTGGAAGATATAGGGAAAACCACAAAGAGCAGAGGTTTGCCTCAGACCCTGACTGAGATGTACATCCACTTCCTGGTGGTTCAAATCAAAGTGATGAAGGTCAAGTATGATGGAGGAAGTGAGACAGATTCACCTTGGATTCCAGATAGCCGGGAGATGATCGAGTCTCTGGGAAAACTGGCTTTCAATCAGCTGCAGAATGGATACCTGATCTTCTATGAATCAGACCTGACAGATTGTGGCATGGATATCACAGCAGCCTCAGTTTACTCAGGAGTGCTCACCCAGGTCTTTAGAGAGGAGACAGGGCTGTACCAGGAGAAGGTGTTCTGCTTCGTCCATCTGAGTGTTCAGGAGTTTCTGGCTGCTCTTCACGTCCATCTGACCTTCATCAAGGATGGAGTTAATCTGATGGAAAAATGCCCCAGTCAGGTAAAAGTACCTGATCTAAATAATCTGTACCAGAGTGCTTTGCTGAGGGCCTTGGAAAGTCCTAATGGACACTTGGATCTCTTCCTCCGCTTTCTGCTGGGTCTTTCTCTCCAGAGCAACCAGTCACTCTTCAAAGGTCTGCTTGAAAGCACCACACTGAACCCAGAGAACAATCAGCAGGCAATAGAGAGTATAAAGAAATGCTTAGGAAAGGATTTATCTACCGAGAACATGTTGTGTCTTTTCCATTGCCTGAATGAAATGAAATATGGTGCCGTAGTGGAAGAGATCCAGCAGCAGCTGACCTCAGGACATTTCTTTGGAAATCAGCCTTCTCATACTGAATGGTCAGATCTGGTCTCCATCATTCTGTCCTCAGAAAGTAACTTATGTGTGTTTGAACTGAAGAAGTATCGTGAATCCGAGGAGATTTTTCTTATGTTGTTGCCAGTGGTCAACGTCTCAGACACAGCTTTGTAAGTACAACAACAAACCAAATACACATCAATACTGCCGCTATTTCCCTGACATTGGTTGGGTATGTTTGTGCTTTTTACAGACTGGGAGGTTGTGATCTCTTTTGGAGAACATGTGAAGCCTTGTCCTCCATTCTTAGCAGCCCTTCCTGTAGTATAAGGGAGCTAGACCTGAGTAACAACAACCTGGGGGACATGGGAGTAAAGCTGCTATGTGCTGGAGTGAAAGGTCTACATTGTAAACTGGAGATTGTGAGGTAAGACTAAGTCTTACCTCAGTAAGAATGTAATTTTCAGAACACAATGCTTTTCCTTTTCATTTTGAAAGCTAACAGACTAAAAAGGCAGGAAAAAAAGCGACTCATCAACTAAATTGAGAGTTATAAATGAGTGGAACTGTTGGGTCCGAAGCTGCAGCAAAAGAAGGAAGAGACGTCTGAGGATATGAGTGTGGACATAATCAGGGCCTACACTCACCTTCTTTATCTTTGCTGCTTTCTTATTTTGTGATCAGATTGAGTCTCTGCCAGTTGTCTCATACGAGCTGTGAGAGCTTGTCGTCACTCCTCAGCTCCGAGTCGTGCAAACTGAGAGTTCTGGACCTGAGTAGCAATGAGCTGCAGGATGAAGGAGTGAAGCAGCTGTGTGTCGGGTTGGGGAGTCCAAGCTGTCCTCTGCAGAACCTCAGGTACTCTTGTCAACACTTTAATGCAATGAGCAGAGCCAAGGAATAAAGATTTATAAAAATAAAAAAAAACTATATTCAAATGATTAGGAAAAGTAAGAGTTTGGTTATTGTCAGGTTTTAAGTTGGTTTTAGTAGAATAGCTGGTAAGACTAACTGATGCTGTGAACTCACCAATCAAACGTATACCGTACTAAGTTATCACGCCAGTATATTCATTATAAAAACAAAATATGAAGTAAGATACAGGTTTAGATTTTTTTTGTTGGTATTTTTCCCAAATATTGTGTCACAAACCTAAAAAATGATGTACGAGTTTAATCATGGAGAAGCTATTATTCAGCTTTATAATGTTTTTCCATATATAAAAACTATTTATTTTCTGAGAACGTGTTTATTTAAGAGAAACTATACAAATCAACAAACACCTAGAAAAAGTAGAATATATTTTATTATTTTCCATGTGAATCCCAGATTGTTCATTCTTCTTTGCCTTTTCTATAAAGTGCTTTAAATCAGTCCTAGCTGCCTTTATTCAGGCTGGATCAGATCCTGACATTTGAAAAAGGAGGCGGGGAAAGCAGGATCAAGCCTTAGCCTCGCTGCATGCAGTTAGCCTAGCCTTGGAGCTAAACCAGTTTATTCTCGCTTAACCCGGTGCTGGAAGAGGATGTTTCTTGCGCCATTTCTCTTTCTCTCTCTCTCTCTCTCTCTCCAATGCGTCTCTAACTCGACTGCGACCCTACCTGTCAATCTTCCGTTTTGGCGGGAGTTAGCAAGCAAATACACTTCCGGTAACCTCAGGATGTAGCTTTGGTGCGCCCTGAGGTCTCCTATACCTCTGTATTACAAATGAGCTACTGCGCAACTTTTAACGAGAGTCAACGGGTAAAGATTATTTTGCCATGGGGCAAAAATACGTCATCAATCTGAAGAAAAAAATGAAGTCACGCTTTACTCCTCATTAAAATAAAAACATACCCTCATCAAATATCCTCATCTAAAATATATATCAATATACTTCGAACATATTCATTTGAAATTCAATTACAAAAAAAACAACAACAAAACATTTTTTTATGTCTTGATCAGTGTCAGTGGGTGGGTATTGCGGCGCACTAGCGCCCTCTATTTGCCAGCCGTCACTGCTACACCTTCTCAATCTGGAAATGCTCCCATTGAATCTGGTGACAACCTTCCAAGCTAGGTGGGTAAAGTGACACCAGGTGCCCACATACCAAAGTTTGAGTTTAGCTAATGTCAGCGGATGGCACGATAAACCAAACCACCTCATGCCTTTAATGCTCTGGTTTTCCATAGCATGAATTCTGACCAAGTAGATCTGGTTGAACTGTAAAGTGCCTTGAGATGACATGTGTTGTGAATTTGGCGCTATATAAATAAACTGAATTGAATTGAATAGATAGACGCTGCAATGGTTGAAGCTGTGTGTTTGTGAATGCAAAAAAATGCTGTGAGAAATTAGCGTAATATTTCACATCTTCTGATTACAAATATTCAGCCATCCTATGTTAGTAAACTGATCAGAAAGACGCGTTACAATTTAAAGTTTTAAAAAGGTGAAGAAAAGGTGAAGGTGAAGAAAGGTAAAAATCAAACATTTACTTCTATAAAAGATCCGCTGCTGTTCATTCAAAAAATGAATTAAGGTGTTTACAGATTTACTTTCTCCCTTTTTTTTGGTTTTTGTCCTCACAGACTCGGTCTCTGCCATCTGTCAGGAAGAAGCTGCCGAGCCCTCTGCACCGTCCTCGCCTCCCGTTGCTCACGTCTGCGAGTGCTGGACCTGAGCAACAACGATCTGCAGGATTCAGGAGTGAAGATTCTGTGTGAGGGACTGGGCAGTCCATGCTGTCAGCTGGAGTCCCTCAGGTCAGACCTATAAAGTCAGTACAACTAGAGGTCGGCAGTACTGGGAATTTTTGATTGATACGATACCAAGTAAATACAGGGTCGGTATTGCCGATATCGCTACGCTAACGCAGAGCGCTATGATCACTCCTCTGAAACAGTTTATTAACGTCTAAAATTTGGATTACGTACATGAAAAACGCTAACATCTACTTCCAGCCGCCACCAACAGGAGGGGAAAACCCTGGAGAGGCGAGCAGGCCTGAGGCAGCTGCTGCTGGGGATTCCCAGTGACAGCGCAGCGCCGGTATGTGGGGGTCTGAGCGGCTCCCACAGAGAAATAATCTTTGAAGGCAGGATGGTAATCTGGATGAACTGACTGCACAGACCATGTTTTCAGGAGGACTTTCTCACTTCAACATAGATTCTAACTACTTTCTACCCGCTGATCACAGCTAATATAGCTGCCATTGTTCCAGGCAGAGAAAGGATAGAGTAGCTCCGCCCACCGCGCATCAGACCCACTTTACCACCGCGCAGCTAGAGCAGCAAAGATGCTTCAGCCGTGCCTCAGAACTAAACTGGTAAAAGCATAAAAAATGAAGCAGCACGAGCGTTTTTGCTCCTCCTGCTGCGTGCGATCTGAATGTATCTGTTCATTCGTGGTTAGAATGGAGGATTAATGTAAACAAACATAAACCGCCAAAACGCTCACAGGCATGTGTGTTGTTATCGATCTGCAGCTTGTCAGGGTGTCTGGTCTCAGAGGAGGGCTGTGCAGCTTTGGCATCTGCTCTGAGCTCAAACTCCTCCCATCTGAAGCAGCTGGACCTGAGCTACAACCACCCAGGAAAGGAAGGAGTGAAGCTTCTCTCAGCTAGACTGAAGGATCCAGACTGTGAACTGGAGACTCTCAGGTATGAAGCAGAATCAGATAAAACCCACAGATCTCTTCAGTGTCTACACTTAGATTGATCTTATAAAGTGAATCAGGCAGGTTGTAAAAGCAATGAATGGGGGGGGGACGCATGGTAGACACTGATGATTTGACCCCTCCTCCTTTCAGGGCGGAGCCTGCCGGAGTCCAATGGCTGACACCAGGTCTGAGGAAGTGTAAGTATACAGCAGCTCACATCCACCCATCTTCAATTCTATTCAGTTTATTTCTATAGCGCTAATTAACAACACATCATCTCAAGGCACTTTACAGATCACCAGATCATCCCGTCCACTGGACAGGATGATGTTTCCATGTTTTGAAGACGTTTGCTTCACATCCAGGAAGTTTTTCAATTCAAAATTTCAGAAATAGTGTGATGTTCGAGGCTTTATAGAGTGGGCCACAAACAGAGCCTTGTTTTTGGCTTAGAAAACATGCAAATTTAACCGGACCAATGGATCCGTTGTAGGTACCAGATTGACTCGGGCTGCCAGATTGACTCGGGGGCCTGCGCCTTTTGATGACGTCACAATACATAATTGTTTTAACGTTTGCACAATTGCGCAAAACATTTTGATTGGTCTGGACAGCTTACTAAAGTAATTATAGCGTGGTATAGGTCTTATTCGAAAGAGGGATTGCGGTCTGTAAACGGACAATTTTACGAAGAAATT